AGAGAGGCCATAAACTATTATTTTACCATTATAGAATTTGATAGCTATATGAAAGCCACAAGCTTAATTTATTGAGATGTCTTATACTTTTGTATACTTATTTGTCATTATGTAAACATATTTCATAAATTATGTTAAAAAAATCAACCAGACAAATGAGTTGACATATAGGTGTCTTAACTTGACACAGGAACAACCTGTAATCATTAAAACTAGACCTTGTCTCATAATTTATTTTGGTAATTTTTAGCTTATTATTCTAGATAAATAATTATCCAAGAAGGGTTTTATTTAATGAAATGTTGCTACCAAAATTTTTTTTTATATTTTTTTTGGTGGGTAAATAAAACAGCTGCTACTTTTTTTGTTTTCTGGCAACCTCGAGTTCTTTTTAACAAAGGTCAGTATGTTACAAGCATAGTTAAGAGGCACATACCATTCCAGCTGCTTTATGTAAGCACCAATTTTTTTTTGTAAAAATAGAATGGTATTGGAACCAAAAAAATTCCTATTTCTTAAATGTTCTATCTGTCTCGCCCTCTTCTGGTATTTAATTTGACTATGGCGACAGAAATTTATAACTATTAACCCCTTGTAGCATTCCATATGCTTATACACTACATATTTAGCGGTATCACGTAAGGGACTTTACATACATATATTTATTTGTCAAAGATTTCCTATTTGTCACCTGCATATTTTGTAATAACTCATCAAGCCATTAACTTATGACAGATTAACTTGGAGAATAAGACATTTTTCACAGAAAATGGAGTGATAACTGTCACATGAACTCATTGTGAACACTACCACATATATGATATATTTTAGGCTTAACTATTTATGAATCTGTTTTGTTTGTTATGTAAACCGTTGGTTGCCTTCAGCAGAATTTGTTCAACTTCAGCTAAATAAAGTTGCCATATAGAATTTGAACAATAGAATAAAGATGTTAGATGGAAATTTGAAAAAAGTAGATTTATCTCAACATCCACAGGATATGTTATCACTACTTCTATGTCCAACATCTACTGTAACCATTCCTCATTGCTTCTATGTCCAACATCTACTGTAACCATTCCTCATTGCTTCTATGTCCAACATCTACTGTAACCATTCCTCATTGCTTCTATGTCCAACATCTACTGTAACCATTCCTCATTGCTTCTATGTCCAACATCTACTGTAACCATTCCTCATTTGATTTTTCAACAATCTCAGTGTCCATCTCTCTAATTTTTATTGTAAAGGTGTTTTTTTTCTTTGAACCTGTCATCATCTCTTTACCTTTATTGTCAAATAATCCATAATCCGTTCTTTTGTACACATTAATTAAACTGCAGCATTACTATAAAAAAAATATATTGCAGAAGATGCATCTAGCAGACAAAAAGCTGTAATCGTTAAATCTAAATTGAAATAGTAAATTTCAATAAACAAATGAGTTATATTGTAATTTACTGCACTAGATGAATGGAGGACAGGAAATAACCACGTTTGGAAACTTTGTCCCTGACAATTGGTTTGATCCTATCCAGTCATTTATAGACAATTTAGAGAGACAATTGACATTGGACATGAAGTTTTCACCATATATATCCACAATTTTATTATATAATTGCCATACTTTCTCACTAAATAATCACTCTATGGAATAGATTTTTCCATTACTTTCTCGATTATTGGGAGTTGATGATAGAAGTATTTCTATCTTCCTGATATAAAATGGATCCTAACATTAACCAGACATCCACAGTATGTATCATACACAGTAAACATACTCAAGTTGTCTATAATACATATTTTAGTCAGTCCAATAATGTCTACAGATTCAACAGCTGTTTGTGCTACAATGATTTGCCATTCATAAAGAGAGTCAATGTTCTTGACTTTATAAAAACAAGGAAATGTGGTATAATTGCCAATGAGACAACTAACCATCAGAGGCCAAATGACATGGATATAAGCAACTGTAAGTCACTGTATGGCTTTCAACAATAGGCAAAATCTGTATAGTTAGGTATAAAAAGCCCTGACATGACAAAATGTGAAACATTTCAAACGAGAAATCCAGTAGCCTATTTATGATGGACTAATAAAACATATCTGATAGATGGCATCCAACAACAACCACTGAATTACAGGCTACTGACTTGGGACAAGTTTGGATTTACTATCATGTCTCCAGTATCTATCCTTAAGCAACTTTTCACAAAATGTTAAGTGGGTAAATGGTCTGTGTAGCAGGTTAACATCAAGAGTTTGTAGTTTGATTGGGTGTAGTTACTGACAGTTTTTGTAGCAGGTTAACATCAAGAGTTTGTAGTTTGATTGGGTGTAGTTACTGACAGTTTTTGTAGCAGGTTAACATCAAGAGTTTGTAGTTTGATTGGGTGTAGTTACTGACAGTTTTTGTAGCAGGTTAACATCAAGAGTTTGTAGTTTGATTTGGTGTAGTTACTGACAGTTTTTGTAGCAGGTTAACATCAAGAGTTTGTAGTTGGATTGGGTGTAGTTACTGACAGTTTTTGTAGCAGGTTAACATCAAGAGTTTGTAGTTTGATTGGGTGTAGTTACTGACAGTTTTTGTAGGATCAAGAGTTTGCTGTGTGTTTTGGGTATAGTAATTGGTTGTCTTTGTAGCAGGTTAACATTAAGAGTTTGCAGTGTGTTAGGGGTTTTGTTAATGACAGTCTTTGTAGAAGTTTAACATTAAAAGTTTGCAGTGTATAAAGGGTTTGCTACTGACAGCCTTTGTAGCAGGTTAACATTAAGAGTTTGCAGTGTGTTAGGGGTTTTGTGACTGACAGTCTTTGTAACAGGTTAACATTATTTATGAGTTTGCAGTGTGTTAAGGGTTTTATTACTGACAGTGTTTGTAGCAGGTTATAATTTAAAGTTTCCAGTGTGTTTGAGGGAAAGTAATTGACTGTCTCTGAAAACAGGTATACATGTACACTAGAGTTTGCAGTGTTTGGATAAAAGTTATTGACAATCATTATAGCAGGACTCACTGTGGTTAAAATCTACATTTAAAGGATGTTATGGGTTTAGTAACTGATGGTCTTTGATATTTGTTTGATATGGTAAATCCTAATACTTCTGTTGTTAAAAGTTATGTCATAAGTTACCTATTAATAATTGTCATGTAATTGTGGAATAGAACCATGAAGATTAAATTTTTTCCTCAGGAAACCACAACCCCTGGAAGGAATTGTTCCCCAATCATGTATTTATTTATGATTGATATCTTTTTACATTTGTCTTTGATCTATTCCAACAGCACCTAAATACAAATATTAATCTTTTTTGACATTCACTAAGTCTTTTATGGTAGTTTACCTGTTTGCCTTTGAAATTAATACTCATAATTACCTTTAAATAATAAAAAAAAAAGAGTTTGAAAATAAGGTCGCTGTTGCTTTCAACTTTTTGATTTATTTCTCTTTTAGATATAGAGAGAAAAAAAATAGTTTTTTGGTCTGCTTATTTCCTGTTATTTATAACCAATTTTTGATTTAGTAGAGATAGGTTTTAATTTTTGTATACATTTCTGATGAATTTCCTTTACATTTTTAAGAAACATCATCAATTTAAAAAAAAAATCCTGTAATTAATCTTTCTATTTTTCATTTGATAATGTGCAAAAAAGTATATATGTTGACGTATAGTTTTGGCTTCGAAAATTGGCATGGAAATGCTGCCGACAAATTTAATTAATGACCGGGAGAATGTTTAGAGTAAAATTTCGTTTCTGTAATGTACAAAAGTAATTAGGAATAATTGCTATCTCGCTTTTAATTTTTCTTCTTGTCATAACAGAATCAGACAGCAATTTAAAGTTTATTTAACCACTGAAGGAAAAAAATTGTAATTGATTAACCTAAGTCACAACATGCTATGGTTTTTGTGTTTTGTTGTTTATGTATCATATACCAGCAATAATTATGTTCAGGTGTATTTGGATTGCAATATTTTGTTGTTTCCTCATGTCAGAAACTCTCATCATTTTAAAGAGAAAAGCAAAATTAATTATCGCTTCTCATTTCTGTTTACTGTAAAAGTACAAATACTCAAAACTGGCTGATGGAACCTATTTATGGCTGCCTTTGTTTATATTGTATTTTTCAGGGTCCGTTAAAGAATATTTCATTGATGTCAGATACCAGTATATCATGTAGCCTCTGTTAAATTTGTTCCCAACTTGTCTATCTAAGGCATGAGTTGTTCTTTGGTGTTTGTCTTTGATAGTGCTATCTATTTTTCAGAGGAATCTGGTGTTGTTTAGTGTGGTTGATTGTAGTGACCAATATTTTGACTTATGGCATTAATCTCTTGTTTATCATAAAAGACTATAGTACACCAAAAGATAAATTTTTCTGGTTTGAGTATATTGTTGGATTGCTGTCTTATTCACTTCTTCTATACTATTCTTTTATTCATATTGAAAAGTCCACAAATCTTTACAGAGAAAACTATAAATTGAGCAGACTTAATCCCACTAAAGCAGGGGCATGATTTCAGATGCTTTAGAAGGGTGAGCAGCTTAACCACAGGCATCTATCTCAACAATAATGAAGTAAAGATTAAGCAGTTCCTCCCCAACTATTTCCACCATTCTCCAAGGTAACGAAGTGAAGATGGAAAATTTGTAAACAGTTGCAATGATGTTGGACATACTCAATCAATTAAAGCGATCAAAGCAAAATACTTAAATTCATTAATTTCCTAAATAAATGGATAAGCAAGTAAATTCAGAATTTTTTTTTTGTACAGAAGTAGTCATATGTAAATGAGAAAAAAACGTATGAACAAGGAAACTTTTCTGTTTATTGAAGTGCAACTAGAAAGCAGTCATGTTCAAAGTATTCATACACTCCTTTTCTGATAAAAGCTCTACCAAGTATGCTAATTTTTGCAGGTTGGCTAAAACTTAGGAAGCCATAAACACATAAACTCATCAAATTTATACCTGACTTATAATTATTTCTATTTTGTAGACTATTTAACACAGACAGAATAAAGATTGTAGATGGTGGCAATAAAGTGAGGATTAGTAATATCAATGCTGAGGACAATGGTATATACTCTTGTCGATCAGAAAATGTAGCAGGGGCCATTGACAGTACTGGTGACTTCTTGCTCAATAAACCTGGTAAGACATTTTAAAAAAACCATTACTGTGGATTCATTTATTTTCGTGGGTGCCAATTTTCGTGGATTGAGGAAAACTTACATTTTCGTGGATATTTGATTTCATGGTTTTGCCAATGTCTCCATTCAAGCCTATATAGAATTTATAATTCGTTGATAACTTAAATTCAAGGTTTACTGGTCCCCACGGAATCCACTAAAATTGGTATCCAACGAATAATAATGAATCCACAGTAAATTGTATACTTTTGTTGAGCAGAAAAATATAGCAGAGGTTATCAAGAGCAATTTTGATTCTTGCCCCATAAAATCAGGTAAGACATGAAAGATTATAATGGTATACACTTTTGTTCAACAAAAATATATTTAAAAAATGTTTATAAGGTATATTGTCAAATATGACCTCCTTCACTGGATGTTATCACCAAGAAACAATAGTATGATAAAAATTTATTATGATACTAATGATGTTTGATGCTGTTTCTAACCAGGTTCTCAGATTGAAAAATTTGTTTATTAATTTGGGGGTAGAACACGGCAGGCAAGGTGGGTAGACTGCTGCTTGGTCATAACCTCTTCCATTGGTTAACTAGAAAAACCTGGTTTGCTGTTATTTTGCCAGCCTCTAGTTCAATTCAGTTCAAATCTTTATTGTTTCAAAACATTTTAAGTTTATGACAAATATACAACTATGAAGAAATATTAAACTGATACACAAAAAACTAATTCTACAGTTGTAGAGTAATCAGTGTCAGTAACAGAAGTTAGGTACCAGTAAATTGTTTTATAATATGTGTAGTTTGTAAGATTAGTGTCACTTGAGATTACATAATGTATAAAATGACCAAATTTCACTCAAGCAATTACAAGGTTTATTTTATTTTGCAAAACATTTACTGAAATTTCTCATTTTTTTAAAAACCTAATTGATTTGTAGTAAAACATAAGTGCAAAGCACTTATCAAATAATCTGTTTACATCTAGACATCCTAAGGATTTGCATTGCTCACATCATTATATTCTCGTTAAAGTACTAAACCTAAATTGCTTGTAATTATATCAATTAGCTGAAAACGAAATTTAATGGCATTTGAGACACTATATTCAGGTTTTAGCAGTAAAAATTTGTCAAAATTCTGTCGTACGATTCCATGATTTTTAGTATAACCAGAAACGCTGCCTGCTGCCTACATACATACATATAGGTCTGAGAGAGGATCTGTTAATGGTTTAACAATTGCAGAATTTAGTAATTATGTAATTAAACACAGGTTTCTAGAAAGGAAATGTTTTAGTGCTTTTCTTCCAGATCAAACAATTCATATCACTTTTTTGTGGAAGTTTTTCACAAACATTTGTAACATTTAGAACAAATATTGTAATATTTTGCTTTATGCCACACAGAACATCTTGTAATTAATGGTATATTCAAGTTTTAATGGAAGATACATCTTTATCTGTATCAGAAATAATGTAATTGAACAGGTTATTTTCTAAGATATTTTCTTTAAAAAAGATTCAGTGTACCTTTGAAACTACAGGTGCTTTTAAAGTTATACAATTTTAATGTCTTAAATGAATGTAACTTACTCTAGTTTGTTAACATTTCTTTCACAATTTCTTCTTCTCATATTTTAAAGAAAACAGAGGGTCAGATCAGTTTGTCCTTATTTCTTCGAATTTTTTTCCAAGTTTCTGTAAGTAAAAGACATATTTACTAAGAGTGCATTTGTTTCTAACCTGAAATTTTATCATTGATGACTATCGTTGAGTAAACGTTAAGATGCTAGAAACAAATACATCATTTAATGACCTTTATCGACCCCGCGTAGTTAGACAGAAATAGATTACATACACACACTGTAAACAAGCAGGTAAAAGTGTGGGAAATGAATGATGAGGACTTTGCCAGAACGATGTCAACGTTGACCAAAAGATGTAAGAAACAAATGGATTAAACAACTACGCGCGTAATCGTTTACATTGTTTAAGTTAGAAACAAATGCGCTCTTATGAAAACACCATAGCTTAGGGGAAATGGGTAAATACAGGGCCATATCAAGGGGCAACTTTATGGATAAAAATTTGTGTTTTTAGTATTTTTATGCCACTACCGTAGCGGAAGGGGCATTAAGTTTTACCCTTGTCAGTCTGTGCTTACGCACGTCCCAAAGTTGGTTTCCGTTCTCTTACTTTAGTTTGCCTCAACCAAATGTTATGAAACTTATACAAAATGCTTATTACCACAAAAAACAGATTAATTTTGAATTTTTGTGGCGTCACTTTTACCTTTCTAGAGTTATGCCCCTTTACAAATGGAAAAATTGCAGAATTTTTCGTTTCCGTTCTCTAACTTTAGTTTGCCTCAACCAAATGTTATGAAACTTATACACAATGCTTATTACCACAAAATACAGATCATGTTTGAATTTTGGTTGATTCACTTTAACCATTCCAGAGTTATGCCCCTTTACAAATGGAAAAATTGCTGAATTTTTCGTTTCCGTTCTCCTAACTTAAGTTTGCCTCAACCAAATGTTATGAAACTTATACACAATACTTATTACCACAAAACTCAGATCAAGTACAAATTTGGGTAGTGTCACTTTTATCGTTCTTCAGTTATGTCCCTTTATAACTTTATATATGCAAGCAGGGTCATTATCTGTGTCCCATGGACACATTCCCAATTTATTAGTCCCCTACGAACTAAGTCGAAGTGGACTTTAGGTTTGCACTCCGTCTGTCTGTCTCTCTGTCCATCTGTCAGTCCGGCAAATCAGTTTTCCACACTTTTTTTATTCGTGCTTGAAGATATTGATTTGATATTTGGTGTATTGTTTTATCATGACAAGTTACAGATCAGGTTTTGTTCCAGTCTGATGATTTTGTGCAGAGTTATGGTCCTTTGACTTAGAAAAATCACTAAAATAATACGTGTTCCGCACTTTTTTTTGTCATTCTTGAAGACGTTGATTTGATAAATGGTATATAGTTTTATGACAAATTACAGTTTAAGTTTGAATTTTGTTCTGGTCTGATGATTTTGTGCAGAGTTATGGTCCTTGGACTTTAAAAAATTCACTAAAATAATCAGTTTTCAACACTTTTTATTTCGTCATGCTTGAAGATATTGACTTGATATTTATTATATAGTTTACACCATGACAAGTTATAGATCAAGTTAGAATTTTGTTCCAATGCAATGAATTTTTAACCGGTAGGAGACTATGTATTGCCATGGCAGAATGAAATGTCCACATGTTATCCATTTGTAATGTTTATGTACAGCATGTACACCTGAAAAAAATTATTTCAGTAGGCATAACATAAAAAATAAAATCTTAAACAATTTTAAAGGCATACATAGTTTTGACTTAATTGGTAAAAATGTTTTGTTTCATAACCATGAGTATGAAATTTAAAGAGGAATCAAAGAAATTTGTACTTTGAACATAACAAGATTCACTTCCTGTTTTTAATGCTTCTTGTATTTTATAATCCTCCTGACATAGGAGCACTCAACAAATTTATTTTTAACAATGATGGAGAAAAAAGTAACTGTTTATACCTTCTGCTATATATTATTGCATCACTATAAAATATGATCATCTCCTGTCTCACCTGTTATATTTATAAAACTCCTTACTGAGGAGCACTTTGGTGTGCACTTAAAAATACTTTTTTGTAACAATTCAAATGATAATAAATAACTCTCAATAACATATATACTATATGTTTGAACAAGTAATTTAAATTTAGATAATTTAATTACATTCAACATTCAATTTTGCATGTATAACTCCATCTTTCAAAACTTCTTGTTTATTTTGGTATAAGTTATAAAACATTGAAATTTCTGATTATTTTCCATACCAAATGTACAAGTTTGTTTAGATTAACATCAAAATGATATGCTTTGCTTCATGGTATGATAATTTGATAAAAAAAATCTTACTGGAACCAACATCAAGAACACATTAATTTCTGAATATGGTTTAAATACAACTTATGTTCTCCAGCTGAGCCTAGCAATATTTAAGGTAATTTATACACTGTCCAACATTGCCCTTAAAATCTGGGTTATAACGCTAAAGTGCCCTTTCAGACAACTAGCACCCTTCTGCCCTGAGATTCAAGCTGGAACACTGCATGCAATACTCACAGAATGCAAAACCATAAACTCTATAATTACCAGTACGAAATTTTTTTTTATACACATCAAAGATGAATGAGCAAACATGCTATTATGTTAAAACCTACTACTTTTACATGACTTTTATAAAATTGTGTATAAAGGTCAAACAGAGTGCCTCCTTAGTTTTTGTAGTTTATTAACACAAAAATAAATATATCATATATAATATCGCTTGTTTAAATGATTTCAAAGATGTGGTAATTAGAATCATATTATTACTAAATTTTAGTGCTGTTACATCTATAAATGTTTAGAGAAGCACAAAGAGTTTTATTTGCTCTTTAAATAATGGTCATAATTGAATATATGCATTTTGTTGTTAAATAGGTTTTTTGTGTGTGCAGACTTCTTGCATTTGATTACGTCCATCTCTTTGAAGATAAATTAAATAAGAGCACTTCTGCTATAGAAATTTTGTTAGGATGACCCTTCCTTCTCAAGGCAGAAGCAATGGTTTTCTGCCTGATTCACTTTCCAGATCATATGAACCAGTTAAACAAATTTGTTATAAACCCATGAGATACAAAAGTTGCTCTTCTTACTCTACATTGCTGACTGCAATCAGACAGATAGAGCTAAAACATACTAATCCCAGTACAACAGTCTTAGTTTTATACAAGCTACTTGTTATGTTTACAGAAGCAGTGAATCCACTGTGTCGTATGTTGCTGAATATCAAATACTGTAAAACAACTTATTTTCTTGAGCGATTTATTTTCCCGACTTTCTTAAGTAGAAAAATGATGTGGATCGAAATCTTCGCATATATGTTCAGCTTTGATATTCCCTCAATGAGAAGATCCACAAAATAAGTCGCTGCAAAATAGGCTAGAAAGAACTCAACGCAAAATGAAGTATGCACAAAAATAAGTTGGTTTATATTATTATAAAATTGTACATGCTACTACAAATAGACAAGTTATCCTGTGACGAACCACCAAACATTCTTACCATTACTGTTGTGATACAGAGTTATCTAATCCTTCCAGGAGTTGGATATTGTAGGATTTTCAGAATTGAGCATGATAAGACAATTTAGGGTGTCACAGGGCTTAAAAAAATATTTGTCCGGTTGGCAAGAAATGGAATAGTTCAATTGTTTTTGTAATAGGTTCAACTTATCATTATGGAAGATAAATAAAAATTTATTCTGAATAGAAAATATGAAGAAAAATTTAATCAAAATGGAATGTTTGATAAAAGTATTCGTTTAGATTGAAAGTAAAGTCCTGTCTTATTTAAGATTCTGAAAATGTAAGATTATGAAATTATTGTATCAAAAGTAAAACAAGTACTTTCTGACATTTATAGAATAATTTACAGAACCCAAAATGATAAAGAAATTTCAAGTGTAGATAAGTTCAAAAATAAGTAGATATCCACTCTTTATTTTTTTTTACTGCCAAACTTAAGAAATGTGAAATGTCAAGCAAAAGTATTGACTGTGACGTCCATATGGGGTGCTACAAACTCCTATTCTGCAGAATTCTAGATTATTCTACACATTTATTATTTTTACTTATCAAACAGGCCTTTCAAAATTACAAATCATCATTTTAAACTGTTTTTGACATTGGGTACATAATGTATTCAAGTTCATGATCATAATAAAAAAACAATAAGATTGAAAAATTGTTATGTTAGGAATCCATGCGAAGAACCCTATAATCTTTTAATAAGTCTTACAATCCTCTTTATAAAAAAGGGAAACATATTTTTACTTGATACTTTTTTTCATTCCTCTCACACTGCAATTTTGTTCCCTCAAATCTTTTCCGCATATAAAATGTTGTTTCTAATGCATAAGTTTGATCAACAACTATAAATTACAGTAACCTAATAAAAAAGCCTGTAAATTACAGTAAGGCTTACTTAAAGGCTTTAGTTAGTACCTTCTATGTTTGTATTTTATGATCAAGAAAAGTGTATATTGAGTGTGTAATTGCTTGTTTTAAAAGGTTTCAAAGATGCAGTAATCATTCAACTTTACTGTTATTACAACTTTAAATTTTGTGAGGTTTCTGCAGACTCACAAAGAGCTAGAAGATTTTATTTTGCCTTTAAATAATGGATGATGACAATAGTTTCCAGTGCACTTCTTGATTTCTGAAGAAACCTGTATTTATTATTTTTTTGTCTTTGGTAATAGTTCCCAGTCCCCATCTCTGATGTTGCTAGAATCAATTGTGTCTCTTTCATTGTTTAAGAATTCTTTTGACTCTGCCATTTATTAAAACTAATTAGTAATTTATTGATTACACAGATTCTGTAATCTGTCAACACTGTGTTTTAGGTAGAGTTTAATTGTAAGAGATAAGCAATAAATAATTCTTTATTGTTATGTTAACACACCAATCCTTTTAATTGATAGCTGCTTGTGGTATGCTGTGATTACGCTTTTATGTTCAAAAGGCAGTTTCAATATGTACTGCATAAAAACAGCACATGGTTGGAACAGAATTTTTTTACGAAGCATAAACTTTGAGCAGAACCTTCTTGTTTGTTTTTATCTTTGGTACTCTTAATGAGAAAAACATGTATCAGACTTTGTCAAATGTTGGTAAGGACACCACAATAAAAAAGGGGAGTTTTCATCAATGAATTTTACTGTGAGAACCCTGTCTCATGGAGAAGAAGCCTCTATGATGTAGCTTTTATATAAAGTGGATAATTTGTCATTTGATGAGCTGTAATTAGAACCAAGTCAATTATATGATGGTGGTATATGAGACCACAGCAAAGATCACAGCTGAGGCCATGTGTAACAATACACATAATATGTTCATAAAGTTATCTATATATCCTTTAATGCTAAAAACATCTGAAGACTTCATAGACTTGAAATCAAAGTTCTTAGTTTCATTGCTATTTTACATTTGTCTTATTTTAGCACCTGGTACCCCACACTTGATAGAGGACAAATTCACAAGGTCGTTGCTAGTCATGAAGAATGATCCAGCTTGGTTAGATTGTCCATTTGTTAATGCACACAGAATTGACTGGTTTTCTACACATGAAAAGATTACAAACAACACAAGGTAATTTACCACAACTTTTCACTAAAAAAAGCCATTTTTCTTTTGATGAATTTTATGAATTTAACTTGCCTTACCGGTTAATCAGTTTCTTTTTAATGGAGTGATTTAAAACTTTATAATGTTATAATGTTGAGTTGTACTGTGTTAGCTATTTTCAGAACTGAAGAAACAGTGACTGCTGTTTGACAATACTCAGATACTTAAAAGTTTTACACACTGAGCATGGAATTTTTCAAGTGGGTGTTTACTTTGCAGGACATTGGGTGTAACTTCATTTTATTGAAAAAAAACCATAATATCCCTCATGAAAGAAAGATGCACAAATGTGGACAAAGACATAACAAAAACATTGTAGAGAGATGAAATATAAAAAAAAGTTTTTTCAAAGAATACAATACCATTATGACAAATGTAATATTTTCTAGCAGAGCCAAAGAAAACCCATTGTACAAAGGAACCTCATCTACGGGTACTAGATACTGTATTGTGTAGAAAATGTTTTGTTATCAGTGTTGTGGGAAGAAAATGCTCCTCTGAATTAGTTTTAACATAAATTTATTATGCAGAAAATAGAATTCATATTGGCAAAACCCATTAATTTCCTTTCTTAAGAAATTTATTACTGCTGAATAAAAATATGAAAATATAAATTATGATTGAATGATAATGAAAATATGCTTTGAAATGTTAATGTTTTTATTTTACCATTTCTATTTTTGATAGGCATACAGTTTACCCAAATGGAACTTTGTATTTTCCTCGTGTACGTCCAGCTGATGAGGGCAGCTACAGATGTGAGGGTTTAGGAAGTAGTCGAGACATTCCAGCACAGACATTTACATCTGAGTTGATGTTGACTAGTAAGCAAAATTCTTTCCTAATTTCATTATAAATCCCATTTTGATGATTTGAGTTTTATCTATTAAGATAAGTGTATCATCAGTTGAGATATGTATTACTTTTTAAGTATATGAACAGAAGATGGTAATAAGTTTGATTGGGTCAACTGAATACGAGCAAGACATTGATATATACTCTATAATGTCCCAGCACCAGTAAAACTCAGTGTCATGGTTGTTTTGAGGTCACATCATCATGAGTTCTGCTTATATCACTGATAATGTACAACACTTTCCAATGCTAAATTGTTTTTAGAAAATTCCAAATTTTCAATTTTTTGCTATGATAAGAAAATTAGCTTTACCTGTTTCTGACTCATGGTGATACATTGGGTGGATGGCATCAAAATCTCTGAATAAAATGGTAGTTGTGAATATTAATCACCTTGTTTCTTGACCTATGAGATATAGAGAACCGAAAAGGCATAGTTTTCTAATTTTTTTGCACTGCTTTTAGACCCCTACTGATCTTTGCAACATTCTGGCAATGACAATCTATGGAAAACCTGTTCAACCTAGTTTTTTTCCTCTTCTTTTACCTGTAACTGGAAGTAGCTGCTCTGTAGCAATATAAATCCACAATGCTAGACCCAGTAATTTCTTTCGCAAAATCTAGAATTTGTTTATGACTCAGACTTCTCTCCAGATATATTCTTGCTGAGCATTGGAAAGAAAGTGTGTAATGAATTTTTGTAGTATGAATACATGTATATATACTCATAGATGTAGGTTGACTGCCAACAAGTAAACCATAGTCAATGATCAGTGGAAAGGTGTACCTTTAAAGAAGGATTAAGCACTCATACCCTTTAGTTAGTTCTTTAATTATTAGTTGAAGGTAATGTGACTAATGTCTGGTATCACAGTCTCACTACAAACAGTAACCCCTAAGTTAAGGCTACACCCCAAAAAATTAAATAATTAAAAAAAAAAATTTTTTTTATTAAATAGTTGGTTACCCAGGTACTTGTATACACACTTGTATATAAAACATAGTAATCTGAATTTTTACATGTATATAATCATTTTAAATACTTTTAAATGTTAGAACAATCTATATTCTAATGTTACTACGGTACTTTGTGTTTTGGGTGTTGTTCACTTTAAAGAAAGGATCAAAGAACCATTTGAAATTCCTTAACAACAGTTCTATTTGTTCTGTGAACTGGTTAAGGAGCGTTTGACAGAATTATGTAAATATTTGAAAGTTACTCTTTTGAAGCAAATTAATGAAATTTTTCATCTAACGGTCATATTATCTTATTTGTTTAGTACTGACAAAAACACCAGTTTCACCTCAACCATCAAACAAAAAAATAGATGTTAAGTTTATACATTTGGGTAGCTGACCCCAATTGATTCAAAGGAAAAATTGAACAGATCTTGTAGTGATTTGTAATGCTGCATCTGGATTGAGCATAAGAAAGACAAATTGGCAGTTTAAAACTGTGAATTCTCACTGTTTACATTAATCTTTGGACTCAAAAATGACTTTCTTGATCTGATTATAGTAATAAATCAGAAATCTAATACAGAAGATTTAGGAAATATTACAGTTTATTGGTGAAGCAGGTTAAGATTTTTCATTCAACCATTGTTTTTCAAGTAGACAGATCAAATTAGAATGAAAGAAGTCCTTTGGTTGTAAGTTCAGCTAGTTTTACTTTTGTTCATAAAGGTTGTCTGTCAGATTAAACTCTTTTTCTACTGTGAAAAGATTAGTTGAAATATTTTTTTTTACAATTTGATTTTTTTTTAAATAGTCTAGAGGAAGTTAAGGGAAAAACTTTTATAATACTTATAATACAAACAAGTTGTAAATCAAAGTTACTTACAGAAAAATAGGTTTTATGGTGTTTTTCAATAAAAGTTTTCAAGTTCTCTTGAATTTTTGCTATTTTTCACCTTAATCATTATAAATACCATATACCATGTGCACAGGAATCTATTTAGGTATTTGGTTGTCACTTGTACTTGACAATATTTTTTGGACACAGGTGCGAGGCCACACAAAAATTTCATTAATTGGAAATTCAATCTACACTAGATAAATTTCACAATAAGGATACTTGTACATGATTAACTATCTCTGTGTAACTAAATGATGTTCAAACTCAGACATGTTCCTATCCAGAGTGATACTTACATCACTGATGAAATCAACACCGTCAGAAGATCAGAGATTAATTTCTCAAACTTGTCATCCATCTGTATTTCTTTTTGAAATTTCTAGCAACTTTCTGTAAAAACGAAGGTTATAATATAATTTATAAATTCTCTAGGTTAAAATTTATCGATTAATCTTCAAATGAAACCACTTATAAAAGATGCACTTTTGACTTATTGCAATTGATAAATGACAGAAAATTGCTTTAATATGCTATAAAAATCAAAAGAGAATGAGAACCTATCTTTAAGTAATTGCATCCGAATGCACATGTATGCACTATTGCACCAGGAAATTTAGATTAATTTATTACAGACAATGTCATCTTTTGTGAAAGAAGTCATTTATGAAAGTAATTTCAGGTGAATTAATTCGTTTCAGGATAAGCATATGTTTTCTTAATGAATACCTCGTTAATCAGATACTGATAAAGAACATGAAGTTATGCAAATAGGAAAGAAAAAATAATTATGATTTCCTCTGTGGCAGATAATATTTGTCTTTTATTTTTGGTTGATGCCAATTTACAAAAGTGCAAGGTAAAATTTTAAACCTGTCTTTTGGATGTGTGAAAATAACTTTTAAGTATTTGATTTATTAATCAGAATAGTATTTGTTAGTCCCTCCTTTCTGTAACTTATAGCCTAATGCAATTTCTGTCAGTTATAGCCTTGTGAAATTTCTTTCAGATGTAGCCTCATGCACTTTCTATCAGTTATAGTCTTGTGTGCTGTTTGTCAGTTATTGCCTTTAGCACTTTCTGTCAGTTATTTCATCTTTTACTTTCTGTCAGTTATCTCTTTTTGCACTTTCTATCAACTATGCCTCTTGCATATTTTGTCAATTATCTCCTCTTGCACTTTCTGTCAGTAATCTTCTGTTGCACTTTCTGTTAGTTATCTCCTCTTTTACTTTCTGTCAGTTATTGCCTCTTTTACTTTCTGTCAGTTATTGCCTTTTTAACTTTCTGTCAGTTATCTCCTCTTGCACTTTCTATCAATTATTGTATCTTGCACTTTCTGTCGGTTATAGCCTCTTGCACTTTCTATCAATTATTGCCTCTTGCACTGTTATTCAGTTATAGCCTCTTGCACTTTTTGTCAGTTATCTCCTGTTGCACTTTCTGTCAGTTATTGCCTCTTTTACTTTCTGTTAGTTATTGGCTCTTTTACTTTCTCTCAGTTATTGGCTCTTTTACTTTCTGTCAGTTATTGCCTCTTGCACTTTCTGTCAGTTGTCGCCTCTTGCACTTTCTATCAGTTATAGCCTCTTGCACTTTCTATTAATTATTGCCTCTTGCACTTTCTGTCGGTTATAGTCTCTTGCATTTTCTATCAATTATTGCATCTTTCACTTTCTGACAGTTATCTCCTGTTGCACATTCTGTCAGTTATTTAATCTTTTACTTTCTATCAATTTTTTGTCAGTTATAGCCTCTTGCACTTTCTGTCAGTTATAACCTCTTGCACTTTCTGTCAGTTATAGTCTTGCGCTTTCTGTCAGTTATCTCCTGTTGCACATTCTGTCAGTTATTTCCTCTATTACTTTCTATCAATTATTTCCTCCTGCACTTTTTGTCAGTTATTTCCTCTTTTACTTGCTATCAATTATTGCCTCTTGCACTTTCTCTCAGTTATTGCCTCTTGCATCTTCTATCAATTATTGCCTCTTACACTTTTTGTCAGTTATAGCCTCTTGCACTTTCAGTAAGTTATTTCCTCTTTTACTTTCTATCAATTATTTCCTATTGCACTTTTTGTCCGATATAGCCTCTTGCACATTCTGTCAGTTATCTCCTGTTGCACTTTCTGTCAGTTATTGCCTCTTTTACTTTCTGTCGGTTATTGGCTCTTTTACTTTCTGTCAGTTATCGCCTCTTGCTTTTTTTATCAGTTATTGTCTCATATGCTTTTTGTCAGTTATTGGTCCATGCACATTCTGTCAACCTCATGTTTTTTCTCTCAGTTACAGTCTCTTGTGCTTTCTGTTAGTCAGTATTGTGTGTATTCTGTCAGTTATTGCCTCATGCATTTTCTGTCAGTTATAGCCTCTTGTGCTTTCTAGTTATTGTGTCATGCTCTCATATTTAAAAAGTAATAGGCTTTTCTTTTCCAATAGTTTTAAGTTTGAAAGAGTTCAAAACAGCTGGCTCTTGAAAAATAAATGGACATGTCATGTAAAAGGTATCTGGTTACAATAAAAGTATGCCGCTATGACAACAACAAAATAAGGAGCTTTTTCAAAAATGTCATATGGTCTTAATAAACTAATTACATCACAGGAAAAATAGTTAAAAAGAATGAACTAACAGCTGATAGTGATTTTTTAATTCCCTTGACATTCATTTGTTTCTGACTGATTAGTGTGACCTTTGTAAGGAAACAGTATGGTTAAAATAGAAGATCATATATTTTTTAAGGAAGGGACAGTCTTTAGAAATCTTTTTTTTTAAGACAAAAATAAAGATTAACTTCCAAGACCCCATCTGAAATGAAGTATTTGAGTCACTTACATAAAAATTACAGCTGTAACTACTCTAATTGAATGTTTATAAGATTAATATTAAGTACACACTTTAACTTGGTGCTTGGGGAAAAGTCTGGAAAGTTGTCTTTTTTAAAGGGAAAGTACAAATCTGTCCCCCCCTCCAACAACAAAAAAAATTTGATCTAGGATTAAAATGATATTACTTCAGTAGGTTTTCAGAACAAACAATGGAAAGACTAAAATATTTACTGAAATGCAATGTCATATAAAAAATATTGATTTAAAAAAAAAAACTGAATTCAATATT